AACCCACCACCCTTGATACCAGGCCCTACCCACTGAGCCACAGGCCCCACCAATTTGTGGCTTGTGTTTATGGTTGGGAGATTGTGCTACTTTCTTGACAAATGGGATGTTATGTAATCATTCTGAGTGTCAGTCTCCACCAGGCACTGTACTAGACATTGTCTGAGTAGGTTCTCAAACTCTACTGCATATTAGAGTCACTGGAGTTTTGAAAACCTCCTCTCCCCCCCAAAATGAAGAATCATTATGGAGGTTGCTGTGAGCTGTGACGCCACAGCACTCTACTCCGGGTGGCAGCTTGAGACTCTGTCTCAAAAAAAAAAAGAAGAAAAAAAATCCCCCTGCTCAGGCATCACCCCAGACTCAATTACATCAGCATCTCCCAGGATGAGTTGCAGGCATCAGAATTTTTTTTTAGAGTCTCACTTTGTCGCCCTGGGTAGAGTGCCATGTTATCATAGCAGCCTCTGGGAGGCTGAGGCAGGCGGATTGCATGAGCTTAGCAGTTCAAAACCAGCTTAGCCAGAGCAAGACCTTGTCTCTAAAAATAGCCGGGCGCTGTGGGGTGCTTGTAGTCCCAGCTACTTGGGAGACTGGGGCAAAAGAATCACTTGAGCCCAAGAGTTTGAGGTTGCTGTGAACAGTGATGCCATAGCACTCTATTGAGGGTGACAAAGCAAGACTGTCTCAAAAGAAAAAAGAAAAGAAAAGAACTAGCCCTATTGATACTGGATTCCTCCACTCGGGACTAGACAGGGATTCTCCCATTCTCTAGACCCAGGTAAGCTCAGAAATCAGACCCCCATTTCCAAGCACAAACAGGCTGCCTTTTCCTGTCTATACCCTCTGGGCTCTAACAAAAGATCATGAACCAAGCAGCCCGAGAGGTTTATTGGGTGGTTCCAATCTTGCGTAGGGAGCACTCACCCTATTCCCTTCCCTGAGACAAAAACTGCAATAACCTTGCCCCAGAGGAGGGACTGCATTCAACTTTAAAAGGATATCTTGGCTCAGTGCCTGTGGCTCAAGTGGCTAAGGCGCCAGCCACATACACCTAAGGTGGCAGGTTCGAATCCAGCCCAGCTGCCAAACAGCAATGACGGCTGCAATCAAAAAAATAGCCAGGTGTTGTGGCGGGTGCCTGTCGTCCCAGCTACTCGGGAGGCTGAGGCAAGAGACTCACTTGAGCCCAGGAGTTGGAGGTTGCTGTGAGCTGTGATGCCATGGCACTCTACCCAGGGGGATAGCTTGAGGCTCTATCTCAATAAATAAATAAAAGGATATCTTTTCGGCTTGGTGCCTATGGCTCAAGCAGCTAAGGCACCAGCCACATACATCTGTGCTAGAGGGTTCAAATCCAGCCCGGGCCCACCTAACAACAATGATGGCTGAAACCAAAAAATAGCTGGGCGTTGTGGCAGACACCTGTAGACCCAACTACTTGGGAGGCGGAGGCAGGAGAATCACTTGAGCCCAGGAGTTGGAGGTTGCTGTGAGCTGTGATGTTACAGCACTCTACCCAGGCCAACAGCTTGAGGCTCTGTCTCAAAAAAAAAGATATCTTTTCACTACCAAATCCTAGCCAAAATGTAATTCTCCAGACAATACATACACCTAGACAAAGGACCCAGGGGACACTTCCAACTTAGGTCTTCCCCCTTAGCAGAAGTTCCGGTGCTTTTTCACTCCTCTGTATTCGTTTCTGTCTAATAAAGGAATCTTATCACTAATCTGTGGTCCGTGGGTTCATTCTTCTAATCCCTGAGACCAAGTGATACCGGAATTTCTTCCTCAGTAGGTCCTTGGTCTCGGCGATTCGAAGAATTAACTCATGGACCTTAGATCAGTGGTAAGACAGGATTTTTATTAGACAGAAAGGAATACATAAGGAGTAAAGAGCACCAGAGCTTCCTGCAAAAGGGAAGACCCAAGTCGGAAAATCTCTCTTGGGCTCTTTGTCCAGGGGTCTGTATTACGTTTTGGCCAGGACTTGGTAGGTGGAAAAACATCCTTTCAAAGTTAATGGTGCAGTAATGAATGAATGTAATCCCTCCCCTACTAGGGCAAGGTTATCAGGTCCTTACAGTTTTGTCTCTGAGAAGGGATCAGGGTGTGTGCTCCCTACTCAAGGTAGAACTACCCCCAAATGACTCCGGTTGCTTTGTTCATGACCTTGCTAGAGCCTGGAGGCCTGGAAAAGGCATCCTGTTTGTCCCTGGAAATGGGGGTCTGATTTCTGAGCTCACCCGGGCCTAGAGAATGGGGGGGTCCCTGTCCACCCCTGAGTGGGGGAATCCTGTATCACAAGGACCTACTGAAGAAAGAAATTCCAATAACACTATTAGTCTAATGCTCAGAGGATTAACTGTTATTTGTGTTTTCTTCTCTATATTGATTAAAATATCGATCTGTTACTTATGATATTTACTTAAGGAATATGTAAAGGGAGCGTGGGGGGGCAGAGCGTTCTCTCCACTCCCTCACCCATGATTTGCTCTCAATTATTTACACTAATGCGAACATGCATGCAGAGATGATGAGAAAGATGGACTAGTGAAGCACTATTGGTTCTTTTTGCTTTCGTATAACAAAATGCATTTGCCAAGTTCAATAATGAAGTCATGTACTTGAGGAGGTATACATACATTTGCAAGGATTTATACCAAATGATTCATTTTTAGCCATGGCTCAAAAGTTTGATACCTCATTTGGAAGCTTGTATTACAACTATGCCTGCATTAAAATGAGCTGCCTGGCTAGTTTGTGGATGTGCCCTGCCCAACATCTCCTATAGTGCTTACTGGCCACCTGATACACACATGGGATAGACAGAGAAAGCAGTCATTTGTTTCATAGACCAGATTAAAACCTAATCAGTGAAATTCATGAGTAAAAGTTAGAGAGATTAAAGTAAATTGCAGGAGAATGTATGCAACATGATACTGTTTCTGTTAGTTTAGCAACAAGCAAAATTAGGCCGAGAGGGTACAGTAGCTGGCACCTGTAATCCTAGTACTCTAGGAGGCCGAGGTGGGTAGATTGCCTGAGCTCAGGCGTTTGAGACCGGCCTGAGCAAGAGTGAGACCCCATCTCTATTAAAAGCAGAAAAACTAGCTGGGTGTTATGGTGGGTGCGTGTAGTCCCAGATACTTGGTGGTCCCAGCTACATGGTGGCTGAGACAAGAAGATTGCTTTTTCTTTTTTTTTTTGAGACGGAGCCTCAAGCTGTCCCCCTGGGTAGAGTGCCATGGCATCACGCTCACGGCAACCTCCAACTCCTGGGCTCAAGCGAGTCTCCTGCCTC